TGCATGCGGGGGAGTCCCCCTTCACATCTTCTGTGCATGCGGGGGAGACCCCCTCACAACCTCTGTGCATGCGGGGGAGTCCCCCCTTCACATCCTTTGTGCATGCGGGGGAGTCCCCCTCACATGCTCTGTGCATGCAGGGGAGTCCCCCCTCATGGGGAAGAATCTCCCCTCCCTGTTTCATTGGTCCACCTTAGTGGATCTGTTCTGTAATTTCAATGGTCAGATTATTATTATTTTTTTTAACTTTTGTTTATACAGATAATCTCATTGTGTCACGAGGACCCAGCCCACAAGACAGACATGTACTGGGCAGCTATGTGAGCATCCGGGTGCGATGAGGCCAAATGTTTTGTCGACATGAAGCTCGTTAGACTGTCCAAAAAGAAGAAATATCCATGAATTAGCTGCAGAATTGTATAAAGCGCGGTGTTCAAAGTGCATAAAAAAGTAGTGGCTTATAGTCTGGAAATTACAGTACATCGGTAGTTTCCCAGATATCTTGACATGCAGCTCTGAAGTGCGGGTACGCGCTCAGTGTAAACAGCGCTTGAGTCACGTGACGGACCTCTGAGTGAAAAATACGGTGGATTTGGACAAGTGTAGAGTCTCAGGCGACACTTATGAGATGTAATCTGCTGCTAAACACAAAAAAAAGTCAAGTGCCATAAGACGACTGTCAGGAACGAACATCTGGGGTCAGGCCGGGTGAGGTGACCATTTCAACCTGATGTATGTTTTACCAACACTTTACATAAGTAATCTGAGTATTTGTATGTAGCATTATATAGAGACTGTTGGATTTGTGGTCCTTCTAATCCAAGGGCACTTCTTAAAATCCATCTCTTCTCCTCAGCCTTTAAAAGCATCTGAGCTGCTGACTTTTTGACTTCATTGTTTTTACTTTGTTTAAAAAAAATGTCTGTTTCTGTTGTGTACAGATGCGTCTGTGGACCCAGGCCCGTCAGATGGGTTGGTACGCGGCCCGCTGCATGGCGGCCGACGTCCTCTCTGAAGCCACGGAGCTGGATTTCTGCTTCGAGCTCTTCTCGCACGTCACCAAGTTCTTTAACTACAAGGTGAGCAGCAAGGATTAAATAATATGAACGCGCAGATTAATCATTACTCTCCGCTCTTGGGACAGGTTGTTCTGCTGGGGAAGTTTAACGCTCAGGGTCTGAGGTCCGATCACGAGCTGCTGGTCCGCTGCACCAAGGGCCGCGAGTACGTCAAGGTCAGGAACCACTTGTTTATTTAAAAAGTCAAAATGTGAAGTAGATTTGATGCGAAGGAAACGAGCTGCAGCAGACACGGATTAAAGGACTGCAGAGTCTGCAGTGCAGCGACCAGCTGATAATCCCGCCGGGTTTTAACCTTCAGAGTAAAGGCTCAGACCCACTTCCTGCTTCCTGACACAAGTCCTGTCTTCATGGTAATCTGTCCCCTCTTCCCAGTCCTGACCCAGTCCTGACCCGGTCCTGGAAAGTTTTGAGTTTTCTCTCAGCATTTTCCAGGATTTAAAAGCGTCTGCGGCAGCTCTGCGGTTACGAGCTTGTAATCATCTAACCAAAACCTCAAACAGCAGAAAAGATTTTCAGATTCATTAAGTTCATCAAATATGGACACAGAGTTCTGGGCAAAAGTTTTAAACCAGCCCTAAGTTTGTTCCAAAATCTGGTTCTTTAGAAAGAAAACGACAAAATAAAATATATTTTCTGTGAGGATGCTGAGAGATGCTGAAACTTTCTCAAGTTGGTACAGCTAAAAGAGAGTATTGGCTAAAAGTTCAAGATAGCAAAACGTTAGCTGAAGTTACAGAACAGTTAGCTTAAAAGTTAAAGATATCAAAAAGCTAGCCAAAGTGCCATAAAGCTAGCTAAAAGCCAAAGTAGCAACAGGATGTACCATGCACCACATGTGTGTATGACAAATAAAAAACCTTGACTCATTGATATCTTAAAGCTAAAGGAGCTATAGATGAGCCGGAAGTGGCAAAATGCTAGCT